ACCGTGCCTCCATGGCGTGACCAAATAATTTTTTAATGTAACTCAAAAACGATAAACTATGGATGCTTGACATTTTCATCAAAGTTTATATTAGCATTTTCTGTACACGATAACATTTTCAAAATATTTTGACACTTTTTGAGCTTTATATATTTTGTTAAAAAAAATTTTCACTGGGTCAAAAATGTAAAAAATGAATACAAGGTTTCGTTAGTTATACATATGCCATTTAAAAAATATCAAAATAAATAGTCACAAATTTTTTTATTTTTTAACTTAGAAGTTTGTTGAAAATTGTAAACATTTTGAAATAAGTAGTTCATAGTTCTGCCGTTACCAAAAAATTAAAAAATATACTTAAAAATACAACTTTTTCATAGAAATTTTAATTTCAAATTTGGTCAAAATTAGATATTTTTATATTCACATCTATAGGAATAACGGTTTTAGTTATTTTGTTGTAATTAAAAATATTATTGGGGGACGAGGTGACCGAGTGGTCTGACTCTTCCGCTGCGACGCAGCCGGTCGCGGTTCGATCCTCGGCCACCGGGCGGCATTTTTCTCCGGACAATTCGCGGTGACCGGAGAACAAGTGCTGCCATCCCCCACCCCCGGGGCATGGCAGAAACCTACGGGTGCCCCATTCGAAATTCTGCCAAAACAAACACACACGTGTTCCCCCTACCGTTCCAAAAACCTACAAACCATCAATACAAAAAAACCTACAGTACCTACTAATAGCTAATGGCCTCAGTTGCCGGGCTCAGGATCAATTAAAAAAAAAAAAAAAATATTATTGAAACTTTTAAAGTAGGTACCAATATTATATTATATTTAATACACAATAATGACCTTTTTGAACGCAAAATTTTCGACAAAAATTAATTCGACCAGTAGATAGGTAGTAGGTATCTGCTAATACAGTAGTATAACTAATGTAGTAAAATAAGTTGCTTTAAATAGTAATAATATGTCATTTAATTGACTTAGTAATATAGGCTGACAAATCGTCATCGCTCATAACAGTCATAACCGTTGTTCGTACCTATACAACGGTTGTGAATCATTGAATTCAAATTTACATTTCAATGTGTTATAACTCATAAGTAATTACTATAATATTTAAATTTATGTAAAAAATATGAGGGAGAGAGTGAAAAGGAGAAAATTACAAAATATAACATTTATTGTATTATTGTGTAATATATGTCTGACTACTAGATACTTATCATTAGGTCAAGTCACTGAGTAATTAAGTACCATTATTATACCTATACGGTTGTCTAGCGAATCGATAAAAAAATGTTTGAGTTGGCACATAAATGAATCTCGCCCTCATTATTCGGTCTGGGAAAACCCTGGACACTTTGTATACAATCGGTAACTACTGACAAAGACAATAGTTTGTTAAAAACAACAGTTATAATATCATGTCGTTTATGCGGTATCGATGAATTTTCCCGGAATGTCAAGTGGGATTTTTATCAGAGGTGTAAAGTAACAGCGAGTGCATCTTCGTTCGCTCGGCACAGCGCGGGGGACACCTTTCCAGAGTACATAATCGTTTAGCTTAATAAAAAGACATGATTAATGGTGTTTTATCTACAGTAGACTGACGTTAGGTCCCTTGTCGCCGTGCATCCTCCACGAGAGCGTTTAAGTCAAAAACATTGGCTTTTAACCTATACACAATGCAATAAATCGTTATACAACACGCGTCTTTTACATTTTGTCCATTCTACTGGAGCGTAGTGCGATGGAAAATAAAACATGCTACTTTAAACAGAGACAATATCTCTAATATAATATGCATCTCATGTGATATGGAATTTTATTTTTTTTTATTTTTTCAAAAAGTCATATTATTATCCAACGACATTTCATAAGTATAATTGACGTTTCAGCGTTATATTTACGTATATAAATTTGCAATGAAATAGTTGTATATATAGACCGAAATCAAAAACTATAATTAAGGTGCTTATTTTTATGGAACTGGTTAATAAAAAAATTTGGTTAAAATGTAAGTATTATAATACCTATAGTGAAACTTCCATTTAATGAAACATTTTTGAAAATTTAACCGAATTAGAACCAATTCTATTTTATGGATAACTCTATAGGTAATACGAATTTTTTGTTGCTCATGAAACTATATGCATGTTATTTGATATTTCGTTAGAATGCAAATTAATGTAGAAAAAATAATGTATTGGAAATTGTTGGAAATAAATTTAATTTAACTGTTTACATTATAATAATATACATAATATGACCATATTGAAATATTATTATTAAATATTGACCAAAGAATTTCACAAAAATGCAAGAACACTACCTACCGTAAGCTTATGAATAAGTTCAAATAAAAATGTATATTAAATTTTGAGTGGGTAGTTATTTATTTTCGATCAGATATTTAAAGTAATAAATAATATGTAAAAACTTTCTCCAGGTACCTATGTCATCTAAATTATTGTAAATTCAAATAGTTGGTATACCATATATGAATTTCCTAATCCCAAGGCTCGTTGTGTCTATCAATATTTAACAAAAAAATATACCTATATAAATATTCGTTTATAACTGCGTTTTTAAATAAAGTTATAAGGATATATTATTTTTTATTACAAAACATTGATTGCACTTTTTAATAATAAAAAATATGATTTATGACTAACATATTGTATTTAATTCCCCAAACACTTTCTCCCTAGTGTATGGGAAAACAAAGCGAAATGTTTGACTTTAGTTGCGTTTTTGTGGATTACGCGAAAAAAACAATGGGCAATGGAAATATGACAGAGGGATTGCCGTTGGACGATAAAAAAATGTTTGTAGTGGGAAATGTGGTGAAAAGAAGGTAAACAATAGTGTTATTAGAGACAAAACCAAAAGATCATTTGCATGACAATGATGATAAAAAATATTTTTTTCATCATGACGTTTCAAATGGTCATGTGCATTTAATTAAGTGCTGCGGGCTTATTAAAATTTTTAGAACAAGCGAATTACTCGCTTATAAATTATATTAATATAATTTTACCTTGTTTTATTTTAAAAAAACACACATACAACTATACAACTAGTGGATATGATATTTGACATCTACAAGTATTATTTTTTATATTTTTACCTCTCAAATGTTGAAAATTAATTTTAAACTGAAATGTTTAGATACAACTTTAAACTTAATTTATTTTTTGAAAATCATAATAACTTCACATCTAATACTCTAATATACAGGTTGATTCGTTAAGCATACTCGTTACTTTTTTCTTCAATAACATAGTTATTCAAAAGCGGACTTTTTAATTTTCAAGTGTACAACTATAGTAGTATTATAACGAGTAGGAATACGTTTGAATCAATACAAATCTAAAATAACGCTCCAAACATTTGGAATCAATACTATTTTAAATCGTTAGTCCAGTATTATCCACAAATATTTTTCCGTTGCGGTATTTCTATTTGTTACAACTTATAAGTTTTAAATTTTAATAAACATAGAATACAATTTATTGTGTTACATAGTGTTTTGTTTTTGAAATGTTTTAATTAGACATTTTATTATGAGCAGTTGATCATCGCTTTTCATAATATTTATACTCATTTAACATTATAATAATATTTATGAATTAAAATAAGAACCTTGATTTATTATTATTCACTAGTAAAAAAAAGAGGAAATTGAAAAAAACGCCGGTTTAATCACAGAAGGAAACGAATAATTTATTGAAAATATCAAATAATGAACTCAATGGATATTGCAGATGGGTATATATCATAATATTAGTACTTTTAACTGAAAGATGTAATTTTTCAATATTGAATTTTGCGCTATTTCTTTGAAGTGCACAGCGGAGGCTAAATGACTTGATGTGCACATATGAATATACCGTACGGCAATATGAAAATATAATTATTATTGTAGATTTACTGAAAACGAATACAAATCCGAAGTGGTGTTACTAAAGTGTAAATCGCGAGTGTGTTGCTGCAGTAAAAAGTTATAATCAGACCATATTCATGTACACATTGTACTGTAGCGTATTTATTGAGTGGTAGCCTGTGGGCATAAGGCGGAGGTACGCATATTGACATAATATTACTGTTACATTGTATTTATAATTTGTATGTTGCGAATAAAATTCTGTCGAGTCTGCGCAGTCTGTATGTATGTGTGTTTGTGTGTGTGACCGATGACATCTCAGCAGGGTATACACGCTTCTATAGAGACTGATACATGAAAGCAACTACAATTTCCAAATTCAATTTTTCATGGCATTGTACCCACACTTAATATGTTTTTATTGATGCATTATTGATTTTATGTAATTTATTTTCTTTTAAATGATAGTTTTAATTTTACATTTTAGAGTGGACATTTTACTTTTGTAGAAATGTTACAAAATAAATGCCATTTTGTCAATTGATATCCATACAACACCTTCTCATTAAATGCTCATGCTTAGCAGCAGAGAAAAAATTCTTTCTACGGCCAATGAATATACAAACATTTTAATTTATTAACACATTTCCTTAAGAAACCAACCAATCTATTTACAACCGAATTTAAATAATTCTCAAACGTGCTTATCATTATTATTATTATTATTTATTATTATTATTATTATAATTATTATTACTGCCTGATTACCTTTGTATGATTATTATGATAAATGTATTATAAAATAAAATATAAAATACTAATTTTTCTTCCCGGCTAATGACTTTGTTTTTGAATCCATCATAATAAATAAAAATAATAAAAATATTAATAGATGTAACCTATTAGATTAAATCGCTCTATGGTATTATCTAATGTATACCAGATACCTACTGTTCAATGTTTTTTTCAGTGCATGGGTATAGGAATGTCTGAGCACAATCTATATATAATATATTACTATTGTAATATGCGTCGAGGCGAAAATCATAACATAATTACATTTTATAATAATAGTTATAATTTACCCATTCCGTTTGTTTTTTAGAAAATCGGCGAGAAAAGTCGTCGAAAAAATCTTCGGCTGTAAACGCTGGGTCGGTGCAACACACTCCACCACCGCCACAACAGTACAACGTGAGCCACCACCAAAGGGCAGAATTGTCGCCGAGATCACGAAAACAGCAAATAGGTTCGAATAACATATTTTAGTATTTAATATTATAATATTATTATTGGGGTTCTGAAAAATTATTTTTAAAAATTTCATAAATGTCACAATGATTCCCTTAAAAAAAAATGATGTTTTGTTGTATTACAAAAAATCAACTCGATACATATTTTAATTTTTAATATTTTAAAAAGTATAATAATTTTATCGAAGAATTAGAAATGATTCATCAACGCCAGTTAGTATTGATGGAATAACATCTCGATTCTTGGAAGTGTGTAATCCATTCTCAACTCTCAAAAATATAAAGCTAAGATTATTTCAATTTGTGTTAAATAGTTATGTATGTTTAACTATTTTGTACGAGTTGAATTGTGAGAATTATTACATTAAACTAAAACAAAAGTCCTCGAGATAATATTTCAAATTACCTTAACTAAAAAAAGTAATAAATGTACAAATATGCAAAACAAATCTAATTACCCTAAGAATAACTAAAAAACATAGGAAATTAGAAAACAGCAAAATATGTGGAACAAAAGTTTAATTTGTAGAGTGTCTATAAAATGAATTAAATAATATACTACATAATATTATTATTAGAAGAATGAATTGTTCAAAAACACCTAAAATAAATGCAATATGCATTGAAATCCAGGCCCTAATTATTATACGTGCACGTTTCGTGTAAATTAGTGGACTGGTTCCCGCCCCCTCTTTTCTTAACAATTTTTCATAGTGCCGATTTAAAGCTATATTTACAGAAATAAAATGAAAAACGAAATCGCGATTTCGTGTATTTCTTTAGCACTTGTTAAAGTTACGACATGGACAGCGGACATATATAATTGCATACACGGTTATCATATTAGTATTGTTCAAATAAAATTTCTCGATATTATCGAATTTCAGACCGATTGTGTGCCACACAGCAAATAATTACGTCGGTTAGCTGAAAACGGGGATATTTATAACATGGGGTTAGAATGTCTGTCTGTTAGTTTTTTTCCGAAAATCTCGAAAAAATGGCGTTCGTGATAGTCATTATACAAAGCATACAAACCGTACTTTGTAGATATATTATTATACTTACCGAGAAAACGCCGCCGCTGTGAGTTTAATTGGCGGTGACAACAGCAGCGCAGTGGTAGTATCGTGTAACATACATAATACATATTGTATAATATGTATTATGTATAATTAATGTTTGTTTAAAATTAAATTAATAGTGTTTAACTAGTGGCGGTGGTGCTATAGGTTAAGTCACACCGAACAGCAAACTTTAAAATATCTCACGTGTAATAGGAGGGCCGTTCTAGTGATTTCTTGTTTATGAAAAATAACATATTATTTAAACCACAATTTATGTTTTTTTATTTAGACACATTATAATATTGTTATTATAATATTATATTGATAAATCAAAAAATATTTTTCATATCATGTTGTTTACCAATTTAATCACTTTGCTTAAAAACACGCTACCCATGTATTTGTTGTCTCCGTATTACACACGTACGGCATACCAAATTTTCGTTCATTATTTCAATGGTGTGCTGTTAGTTTTGATATAAGAGTGAATTGACTTACAATCAAACTTTTGTGTAAAAACATTATCTAGGTTTGAGCATCAGCATTTATGTGATATTTTAATTTTCAAGCGAGATATGATCATTTTTAATTTTTGATATTTCATCTTGCTTGAAAACGAAAATATCAAAATAATTACCGGCGTTTAAGCACGTATAATGTTCTTACCTAAATACTTTCCAATAAGTCAACTTATACTCTAATATCAAAACTAACAGCACTCCATTGAAATTTGAAACTAATGAATGAACATTTGGTATGTCGTACGTTTGTTGGACGGAGACAATAAATACATGAATAGTATATCCTCTTAAGTAACAAATGCCAATCCAAGTATACAAAACAATTTTAATAAGTGGTTAGGTGGGTTAATTTTTTTTTAATATATTAATTAATCAACAGGATTATCATAAGCAATAATAACACTATTGACGACCAACAACATAAAATAATATTACATCATTTAAATAAGATAGGTACAAAATAAAGAAGATAGTAAAAATTGGTACAGGCTAGATACACTTAGTTTAAATATTTTTATACAATTCCAATGAATTGGTGAATTTTATGGAGTGGTGATTTCTGGATCTAATGCTTAAAGTTTACTTGGATTATGACGAACATTGAGCTTATCTATGGTCGTTTTGTCTTGTAGTTTCTGTGAGTGATAAGTGTTTATCTGAAACAGGAATTGCACAAATGCGCAGATTGGTGGTTTTTGTCTCGTCTTGAGGTATTTGTGTGTTAGGTAAGAATGGCTCATTCGGGGTCTATAAATAATTATTTGGGTATGCCTAGGAAGCTGGAAGAGTACAACCGTGGTTCTAAGGTGGACGATCTAACTGTTCTAAATGTATTGTTTATGGTCACAGACTTTATAGGTAGAAATTTGTTAGTTTTTTATATCAGGATCAGGTGAGATTTTATATACTTAGGTAGGACTTAGGAACAATTCAAATGTTAACTCAATATTATTGTACTGAGATATTTTCACATTTTAAACTCTGCATTACATCACTTTTATAATATCAAAAAACACAATGCAAATATTATTTTAAGTAAAAACAAATGCCCTATATTTTGTTTTTGTATTTTTTTCATTTACTGTTGAATCGATGTTAAATGAAATTCTCAACCGTTGCATAATACGTCGGTTATTTCTCATCAATCCGGATTTAATAATACTTATTTTCTATTCGTTTTTCTCTTTAACGTGCGTGCAATATATAAATATATATGTTCGAAATACAATTATATTACTTTAATATAGCCTAGCTATACAGCCGACCCATTACAGTGTCGCGAACGCGTATAAATTGAATGGCTTAAAGTTATTATATGGCAATAAAACTGTTTCATAAAAATGATATCATTTAGGGTAGTAGTGTTTAGAAAAAATAAATATTATTAGCTATTTGTTGAAAAATATTAGTCACTATTGTACCTAAAATTCCAATTCTACCAAAAATTGAAAACTCAATTTAGCGTTTATGACAGGTCATAGTATAGGGACAAATTTTTACGATGAGTCGTTATAATATTTATACTATATTTATAGTTTTGGTGCCATGTATTCATATAAATCATCATAATAATATAATATATATATATATTATACAAATAAGTGCGTGAAATAAACAATAACTGTTATGAATTATTTATCGTGCCGATCGAAAAATTGTGTGCAAAACAATATGATCTTATCGTCTCCTTTAACAGTGCGACTCGATTGCCTATCATAACGTATAAAAGCGAGTAACAAGTGAACATTGAAAATACTGTGTACGTATTATTATATTATATAAAGCTAATTAGCGTTAATGTTTTTGTCGGAGGATGCGTGTTTATAACGCACGCATTGTAGCATTCGAAACGAAGAAGTTTAGATGATTTTATTTCAAACCACGGAGCTACAACAAAGTTTTGTGAATGTGAAACCCACTGTAGAATACAGTTGTTTTTTTAATTTTGTTATACACATGCGTGTACGATATTATTATAATACACAGGATTTCTGAATATGACGTACCTACCTATTCATTTCACCTGTTTAACGCACATATTTTTTATATTCATCATAAGTTTCCCCAAGACAGAAAATCTCAAAATCATGCAGTCCTGTGAAACTATATACTCGTACATATAATATTATATTAACGTATTCCGTTTGATTACGTTTGAAACCCATACCAGAGCGGTTTCAGTCTGGCCACGGCAAATTAATGCGTTTTGTTGTGGCCACGAAATCTATATGACTCGAGATTATTTACGTTAATCATTGTTCTGTGAAACATAATAAAAAACGTGTTCAATAAAAATATGCGTGATAATTTTTTATCGGTCGACCACGTGACATCAATATTATGATTTTATTATTAACTACCTATATTATTATAGGTATTAAAGGATTGTAATATTACACTCTCTAATACAATTATTTATAATTCATAATATTTTATGCATTCGTATCCACGTTTGTGTGAGTATTTCATAATTTTCTCACTCATCATTGTGTTTAAAGCACAAAAAAAAAATAAGATAAAAATTACTAAAGTTCGCACAAACTTTGAGACCCTTTGTTTTACTTTGGCCGGGAATAAGAATAGTTTTCAACACTCTCGCTAAATTACTACGTTATACAGGAAATAGAGAGTAATATGAACACTTATATTTTAACATCACCTTGCCGGTGCACTGTAAACTTGGATTTATTCTGAGAAGGTAGTTTAAGAGCCGAACAATAGTTTATGACGACAGGTATAATAATTATATTTTATTTATTTATAATGTTTATTCGGTTGTTATCACGCATTAGTATATAATATTATATTATAACATTATGCTATTTTCCATTCTAACTTATTTTAAACTATACACTTAATGAATCTTAATAATTTTATACTTTCGTTCAATGATGAAATAAAATGACATATCTATACTAAGAAAAAATAATATTTTTTATTCGTTGCTGTATTAGTAATTATGAGATATTAAGCAGTCTCGTTCAAAGAAAAATGTATTCAGGTTTATATCAACTTAAAAATACGCATGCAAACACGCAATTCGTTGCAGCTATAACAAATATGAAATAGTATTCAAAAATAATACAATATAAGTTATATTTATATAGTTTTTAGATTCTGCGCTGAGCAGTTTATTGGCTGTACTATGATGTGTATGGCTGGTATCACCTCTGAAGAAGTAAATATTCTTCCATCTTCAACTTTCCAACATTTTTCAATACAGTCAGTAAAATCATAAGAGTGTAGGAAACGAAGGGAATTTTCAACATAATATATTTTATTTAAATTAATAATAATAAATGTAGTTTTTTACTTAATATTTTGGCCTTTTTTGTGCTCTTTATAGACATATACATAGACTTTTATACATATTATAGGTAGTACATTCGATGCAATGAAGTTCAGATGACATTATAATGTCAGGAAAACTTCAATTAACCAAAAAAAAATTTTAATTTACAATTTAATAAATGATTTTCTTCTGTTGAACTCATTGAATGAACACATCTAAAAAGTGTGCATTATTATTGTAGTACTTGTTGTCCATTTGTAAGTGTCTGAATTTGCTTGCCTCGATTTCTCAATCCCACTAGGGAGATTTAGAATAAGAAGTAATATGTAGTCTTTTTTTTTATTAATCTTAAGCATCGGCAACTATGGATATCATCATATATACATGTATACAATTATATGGTCAGTGTCTTATTATATTGACGTTTTTATTTTCAATGAGATTTGGATGGGCCCGTTTATAGGCAATCCGTTCAGTCGTCAACCCATCACTGCTGATGGGAGTTTATATAGACAAATACATGTAATATTGGCTTTTATAGGTATACGACGATAAAATGGAGGTAATTTCAGGGATTTTTTACGAGACAGTGTAGATGTCCAAATAGTAATAAATTTAGACAAGACAACCGGAATTATTAAGGTGCCTAGGTAGTAGGTACGATACAATTGTGTGTATTCGTTTATTTTATATAATATATATAACCACCCATGACACGAAACTGAACAGTAATCACATGGTTGAACGATAACAAAACCTCAGAGACCCAGAAACCTCACGTCTTATAGTCGGATATGCGGATGCAAATACGGATATACGGATGCAAATAACTATAATCCTAGTCCGTATATTATGTATGTAAAACAAAAAACCACAGAATAATTCTACCTCGCCGTTTTTGCTGATCTTATTATACTATACGAAACCTGCTTATACACATTTATGCATATGCTACTAGTATAAATAACGTGAAAATATTTAATTCGTTTAATATAATAATTGAATAAAAGAATTTAAGGATGTAATCAACCGAACATGATTTAATTCAAGGCATGCTGCGAACAGAAATAAAAATACAATTTTCGCTACAGAATTAATCGATTTATCAAGACACTATTTTACATTATTTAACACATTTTAACCGTTGAAAGCAATAATTGATGTTGCGATGTACAATGCGAGTATATGTATAATGTATATATATATATATAGGAATTATTGCATAGGATATTTTAATGAATTAAATTTAAGTGTATTATGTCATTAACGACTTGATGAAATTAAAAAAAAAATTATCCTTCTCAAATATTTACGACCATCATATTTTCAAATGTACGTCTAATTATAGTTCGCAATCGTCGTGAACCGTAATTGGTTGAAAACAACTTTGTCAAATGCTTATTCCGTTTTAATAAGAAATTTATTTTTATTATTATTATTGAAGTTGTTGATTAGTGAAATATTAATTCATTCCTGTTTTATTCATGACTATCGATCTGATTTTATTTTCCTCTCCCTTTGTATATACCTACCACCACCACCAAGTTTAAACCGATCTGTGCTGCCCGAAAACTATAAAATATATGATCTCAAAACTGCACTGTGGGGGTGGTATTGATGTCTTCCGCGTCGAGTCATGTAGAACCAGTATAGTAGTTACTAGTTTATAAAAATTCAGAACAGTATTGCTAATATCACAAAATATTGTCTAGTAAAAAACTAAAAAATTATCGGAGAAGTAAACCACTGAAAACCATGAATGTATATTATATTATTAAGCATATAATACGTTGTACAGGCAATAATATTGTACTATATTATGTTTTTTAACCAAAGATGTAAAAGCTCAAAACTCAATGTTTCTAGCGCATGAATTATAAATTTAAAGCTTAAGCCATGGTAAGAAACATTAGGAACCAGTAAATTGTGATACAGGTATTTTGTTTTGATCATCTGATGTACCCCTAAAAAGTTTCAGTTATAGTTACAAACTAACAAATCATGATTGTACAATACATAAAAAAAGTACCATATAATTAAACTATGAAATTTTAAAATAAAATAAGTGTTTTGTCTTTAGAAAATCTACTTTTATTTCAATAAAATGTCTACACACACAAAATAAAAATGTGATGTGCTTATAATATTATTTAATACGATTAGTGTAACGATATTAACAATGAATCATAAATTCATAATTAATCATTAAATTATGAAATTATTAATAATTAATTAAACAGGTTTGAATTTAGTGGACGTATTATTCACATTGTCACAATGTTTTTGTTTCCATCTTACAAATTCGTGACATAGTAAATGAGCATAGCTTAGACATAAGATTGAATTTACCTGCTATTATTCAACTTAAAGGTAGCAATATTTTTGGTGTTTCATCGATTTTTTAATTTTGTAACGATGGATTGGTATGATCATTTTTAAATTGTAATATTTTACACACTTAAACCTCGCTTCACAATGAAAACTTTGAGTTTTATTTAATTGATAAAATCACTCAAATATTAGTGAGAATTAAGTCAAACAATAACTGCTGAATAAAATGTTCTATATTGTACACTTAAGTGACAGATACCTCACATTTTTACCAGACGTATTTTTAATGGCATATGAATAGTACATGATATGATTTGTGTACGACTATGACTTCGAAAGTAGTCGACAGTACCTATAGTCTATACAAGCACACACTTTTTCCTCTTCGAATTTATGTATATTTTGGTTTTTATTACGATATCATACTCTCCGTACCTATCTGTTTATAATAAAATAATTTATAATATATATGACAAGTCCTTATACCATATTTTTTTATCTATCGTACAGGTGGTAGCGGAGGAAAACCGGTGTACCGTTTAACGTCGGAGGCCAAACACGTCCTGTGCGAATGCGCCGAGTATCAACTGGCCAACTCGCCGACACACGACCACGTGGCTGCGCACATTCTCAGGCAACTGGGCGATCGTCCGGACTTGCCAACGACTGCTGCGAAACACGACGAATACGCGTACGACGACGGAGTCGGCGATGGCGAAAACAACGAAGACTGTTACCAGTGGTAAGCACTAATCACAATACAATTACAACTGGGAAAAAATGTATACGTACATCCTTTACAAGGGGGTAATAAAAAACAAGTGAATAAAGGCAACCAAAAATATACAGCGCAATGCCCCACAAAGAACTTAGGCATCATCTAAAACGATGTATTTTTTTCTTCAGTTATTCCATTGGCAGTCTACAGACTAAGTCTCATTTGATAATACGGATTCCTAAAAACACAAATCGAAAATCATTATTATGTCACTGAAATATTTTAACTTATAAGGTGGTAGGAGCACATAATATTATATAAACTCACATTAAATCATATTGTTGGTATCACAAAATGTTTATTTTATATGTTTATAAAATACATAAATATATTTACACACAATATAGCATGTAGCATATTTTTCAACCAATTAAAACCAAAGAATAGGTATATATTTCGTCAAACACAAAAAAAACATGTCTTGGACATCTCATCCACCTCTAATTTTTTTACCAACTCTGCCTTATGTCGGGTTGCAACTACCTGAGGTGATTTAAATTTGTAATTATAAATAGTATTAAAGCATAATATTATATTATTATGAATTTAATAATATATTATAACGACGAAAGAAACAATTTACGTATCGCGATACGTGTGCTGGGATTGCGTATGGTTCCGAAGGCACGGTGCCTGACACTAACAAATAACAATAAAGCAAGTGTATTATATTGTTTATAAACAGTCAAACAAAAAAATGATGGATTAGTGTATTGTAACGATATTATATCGGCGTGTTTTTCCGAAACATTTTTTAATATTTCAAGTTTTTTAAAACTTATACATATTTTCTTCGGAAAAATTGTTTCGTATATGGATTAGAACGCCAACCAAATAACTTTAGATAGGTACATGAAAATGCTATACTCAATAGCAGAGTCACTTTTTAGCATCGTTTATTTGATATACCTACATTTCTCTATTTTTTTTAATGTTTCGTTAAAATAATAACCATTGGAAACTTAATAAAAACGGGTGCTTGGTAATTATGTAGAAAATTGTTTATTATTTAAATATCCATCGTACAGATCCAATACTTATGTTTAAAAATAGACCGATATGTAAGTAAACCAACTGACGTGCCCGACTACCTACTCATTGGCCTAATGGTTGAAACTTAATGCCTACCAGCCAACGTCGTAGTGAAAATAGATTATAATGATTTCCGAGCACCATTTGTTTTCTCTCTCTCTAACCCATACGCTTCACAGAAAATTTACGTTTAGAACAACCAACCCTGTGTTATTACTTTAAATAGTACTGTGAATTCACCTATTATAAAACTTTAAGTCAAAAACATTACCTGTATCCCTGCTTTGGCTATTTTATGATGTTTATATTTTTATGAAAGTTATGAGAGTGTAAGTTAATGCAATTTAAAAGTGCTTATAAATTGCACAACAATTAAAATATCGTAAAAAATCCTAAGTAAAGAGCTAATTCACTCTAATGTTAAAAAATAATAAAAGTGACAACAAACGGTAAGTTCTAATAAACATAAATTTGCTATGTTGCGCGAGCGGATCCGAGGGAGAAAACATATGTTGGTCCGACATTCCGCGCACGCGTGTACCTATATTGCCTATACGACGAGCCGTTTTACAAAACGGTCGAAATCAAATTCGATGCAAAAATAATATTAATTCGATCACTGCAATTAACACTGCCATGTATTATCTTATGTCCAGATAATACAATGATCAAACTCGACAAAATAATGGCAATCGATCAAAGTGCATTAATGATATTATTATGTTTACGACGACAAATGCGGCAGTGTGCAAGACTGTTAAATGCATAATAAAACGGAGTAAAGTTTTATACTGTGTATAGGGGTGTATAGTTTTATGGTAATGAATTTTTAAACATGACCTTGCGTCACACCGTACATTTGCAGTAGTCAGATGACCGTATCGCATTTAATGACCCAAAAAGCGATTGTCCGGATCGTGGACTTTTATATGGATATAAATTTTTTTTAATAGTGTTGCACGTAATTTGTATTCGAGATAAAAAAAAATATATAAAAATAAACCTAGGTATATCATAAAGAAAATGACTTAGCCGGATTGAGTTTAATCGTAGACAAAAAAAAAAGAAACAGGACACACCTTGTTTCTACGAAAATACAAAAAAAAACTCAATATCAATTTCAACTTCGTCGTCTCGTGTTTGACAATTCTCAAAAACTGTCTCAATTGTGAAGGTTCAAGAAAACGTTTCGTTCATTATATTGTATAAACTATGTTTCTGCTGAGGTTTACAGACATATTATTTCGGGTGGTCTTTTGTGCTCGCAAACAGGCCAAATATAGGCTTATTAGTTATTATTGTGGCAGACGGTGGTGGTTACGCCAAAATGAATTGTTCGGTGAATCATCTCTGTAGTAATGACTCAAACATTTCGGTGATAATTTGTATTCATTATAACCGAAACTTGCACGCATTGCACATACAGTCCATCCAAACTGTGTACATATTGATTCACTGAGTATGTTCACGCCGCCCTTTTTATTCCATTTTTAAAATTGTTAAGCATAATTCAGGACCATATTTTCAAGTACTTAGGTTTTTTATGCCATTTAATGATTGTCTGTTGGCGGTACAAACTTCATTTTTTTTACTGAGCGTTGTTAAATAGATAAGTTTTTTGAAAATGTTTATACATCTAAATCAATATTTTAACGATTAATTTTCAAGTTACTCAACGGTGTGTATGAATGATAATATGTTTAGCAGATATGTAGGCTAAAATAATTTAAAAATTATAATTATTGCTAATTACGATTTGTAAAAATTGTCAGAGTATATATTATACTTATAAGTACCAGAATAATAATTACACATGTATTTTATATTTTAAGACAAACCATTATTTATTTATTTATAAAAAGCACGAGCTAATAACCCAATTGTTACAAATACTAAATCAAAAGAAACATAATTAATAAATATTATATTAACAAAAACAATAATGAAAGAAATCAAATGAATAAGGATACAATGGTGCTCGATACTCCAATACTTCCATGCCAAAAAAAGGTATATTTTACAGGTAGTAAATTCGACCGGTAACTTGCTTCCCGTTTCGAGCTATATCATTATCATCGATGTTATCGTGTCACTAAAATAAATAGTCATCCACAAATTGTCCAATTCATTGATGTCTTCAAATAATTTAGATTAGTACATAATATGTCTCATAATATCATTAATTTATTATTATAAATGTAATCGATATATTTTCTTATTAATATTTTGAATCGAACTTAAATCATTATTAATATGACAAAATAAACTACATATGTATTTTTTATTTTAATGAATTGCGTTTAAATAATCGATTTTTTTAATATCACGGGACTAGAATGCAACCATGCAAGTAAGCTATGACCTTCTTTTGGCTTTTTTGATCCAGGCGCAACTTAGCTATTAAATTAAATCCGGGACGCAAGTAGTATGCACCGTTTAGTGCACAGAAAACCGAAAACACTCAGATGATAATCTTGTGGTATGCCAAGTGATCCATATTTAATATACACTCAGCAAATGAGTAATAACAAGAATTTTAGCTGTACTAGCTCTAAAATATAACTACTACAGTTAACTACGGTTGATGGTATATTGATCCCACAATACAGATGCACGTTCAAAACAAAGCATTATCAAGAACAATATCATCCTTAGTGCAAAAAGTTTAATAACTGAAAAACTACTCGTCGGTATCTCGATTTAGATGCGTCAACGTTTTTTAAAAATATGTATGTATTGTTGACAATCCACAGGAAAAGAGTGGTTCTCATTTGAAAAAAAAAACAGAAGTTTAAATCGCCGCGAGACACTCATATAATATAATGGTTTACTCTTAAACAGTGTACAACATCTAAGTATTTGAGAATATGGAGTCTAAAGTATACTTAAAAATCCCAAAAATTTCAATGTGAATAAATATATCAAATCACAGGATTAGAGGAAGTGGGCAGACTTGGTAAATCCCAGTTATAAACTTCAATTATATAATATATTTAACATAATATATTGTAATACGGAGATTATGGTGGTAGCCTGACTGGCGCGGTTGTGTGCTGTTTTTTGATGTATAAAAAACTAAGCCGGTAGTACGTGAAATCACGTACGTGACTAATAAAAATTAATCGAAACCTATATTGTACGCGCATGGGAGACGCTGAACCAAAACGAGTGATTTGGGGATGTTTTATTACGGCCAAATGTAAATCGCACTGTACCCGCCATTGAGTGGGAGACGTATAAAAAATAAGACAGTCGGGGCTTTTGCGCTTGAACGGTTCGCGTACAATGATTTCGTCGAGTGTTTCCACCATAAAAAAAAAAATGTGCGTATATACACACACGTATAATATACACGAGCATTACGGTTTGCGACTGCAAAGTAAACTCCGTTCGAATATAAATTTCAAAATCCCGATCGCGTTCGGTTCGGATGGAAAACATTGCGACGCGTTGCTCCAACAACCGTCGTAGCTTACGCATTTATTCTAAACAAAAAACATAATACAAACGCCGATGTACACAGAGTGTTTGTCCCCGTCGATAACTTTTTTTTTTAATCAAATTGATATGCGGGAGCGTCATTTACAGGATGTCGTGGACGTCACTTGTGGGTGGGTGCGTTCATTTAAATTCCATGAATGATGTTTATGTTTTTAGATTTTTTTGTTGAAATTCAAAGACACTTGTTGAACACAAATAATGTGGTTTCTCACATTTTTTATGATAAAAGTTATAACATTTTTATCTTGAAAAGAACGATTGATATATTGGATTTATATACCGATGTGTATTAAGTCTAGAGTCACGTTTTGGAGTGAAATATTCATTAGAACCATCAACATTAAGAGTAATTTCTGTTAGTATTTTGGTAAAAATAGAAAATGTTTAATACATTTCTTGACAAAAAACTCAAGAAATACAGCGAGAAAACT